TAACTCCACCCATATTGTGTTCACGTGGTCTCCATATGCCACGTCATCAGTGACGAAGCGATGACATTTATTATGATAGGTCAATGGATATTTAAATATCGGGGGGGGTTTTGGCGGTAATTTCTAACCCCTGACGAAGCGCGCGTCGGGTTACACGGGGGGATTCCCTATCACTTCACTTCGGTACATCACAGTGCACCACTTACTATGCACTGAGGGAAACCCTCCTCTCACTTATTTATGATCACTGTTTATTAATTTGTTTTTCCTTTTTTGATACTATCCGTTTGGAGTCCGTTTTTTATTGATAGCAAGATAGTATACCATTTAGCCATTCAGTATAGAACACCCACGAAGGTGTTTATTAGCAGAAGTTAGGGTAGTATAATAGAACAGGGATAGAATTACCTTTTTCTTGGGTTATTTTTTTACTATATACTTTGAATATGCTCTTCTTTCTCTTTTGTCATTAGACAATTGAAGATTATGCTAGCTTTAGTGTACAGATAATCTTAATTTTAATAATGACAGGAGGCGAGTATTTTGCATAATCTTTCTTTACTATCTCCATAGCAGCAAAGAAATGAGTGACAAAACTTTTAACCAATCACAACGTAGAATAGGGTATAAGAGGTGAGACCTATGACATCATTTCCTCTTTAAACTTGCGACATCACAAGACCATAAATGTAGAAAAAATAACCGAACAGCTGAGAAGTCCATAGAACAAGAAACTGGAAACTTAATCAGAATAAACTGAACCGGAACAGGTAGAATGCAGATGAAGACGTGTCCTTGTCAAACGATGGTCTACGAAGACCTGATGATGAATCTCCTGATGCGATGATGACGACATCTTGCATGGAGACTTTAATGATTCCGTGTAGCTTCTGGTTAAGCTGAAACGAGAGTATAAGGTGCGTTAGAGTCCAGAAGTGATTGTATAAAACAAAGGATGTCTGTCCCGTAATTCAACTTTAATATCGTCTAGTAACATGAGAATAAAATAAACTAAACGTCCTCCCTAGCGGTGTTAAATAAGTATCCCACCCAAACAATATATATATATATATCTCTATGATGTAAATAAGGCAGTTAAACAAGAGCTATCGTGTCAGGTATTATACCAACATATGAGAGAGCAAAGTGTAGTAGGTAGAAGTGAAAATAAAAGGGAGGGAAGAACGAAAGAGAACAGGGAGGGAAAATACTCGCCTCCTGTCATTATTAAAATTAAGATTATCTGTACACTAAAGCTAGCATAATCTTCAATTTTATCACATGACAGGAGGCTTCGTATTTTGCAATTTCAACGCTGAGAAAGAAAAGCAAATGCCGGATTATCAAGAGGACGAAAGTAGAATGTCCGAAAGGTAGATTCTCTGGTCCAGTCCGCTGCTCGTAAAATGTCCGAGAGGGACGCGCCTGCCGCATAAGCAGAAGAGGCCGCTGCCCCACGAACGGAGTGTGCTCCAAAAGTTTGGTCAATACCGGCAAGGGATAGTAGCCACCTAACCCATCTGGCCAGTGTAGTAACCGAAACCGGACCATAAGGGCGGACGTAAGAGATGAGAAGTTGATGAGTGGAAGGTTGCCGCAACGTCGCGGTGGCTTCCACGTAGTGACGGAGGGTTGAGACCACGCAGAGTTGAGGGTCAGAAGGGAAGAAAGGGTAGAAGACCGAGAGAGAGTTGGACTTAGTGCGACGTGAGATCTGAAAGGTGACACCCGCCGGACAGAAAGTAAACGCGTTGGCGTCAAAGGCGCGTACGTCCGCTACCCGTCGAAAGGAAACCAGACAGAGCAGGAGGGTGAATTTTGCGGTAAGCTGGCGGAGTGATAGTTTCTCGTTGGGAGGCCAATTACGTAAAAATTGAAGGACCACGCCAACGTCCCAGAGACTAGAATATTTAGGTTCCGGGGGGCGCCGTAGGCGCATACCGCGGAGAAGTCTGCAGATGAGCGGGTCCTTACCAACAGGAATCCCCTGTATCGGAGTATGAGCCGCTGAGATGGCTGACCGTACCACATTGATGGAACGGTATGACTTTCCTGCGGTGAAAAGTGAAGTCAGGAAATTCATGATGGAGTGAGTAGGTGCAGTAAAGGGATTGAGGTCCCGTCCCACACACCAACTTGTCCAGGAGTGCCATGCTGATAAGTAGCACCTCCTAGTTCCTGGTGCCCATGAATCCCATAGCAGGTCCTTAGTTTCCTGTGATAATTCTTCAGTTCTCCAGGAACCCCGGAAAGAGTCCAGGCCACAAGGGGCAAGCGTTCCTGCAGGACTAGTGGGTGAGGAAGGCCCAATGGATTCCTGAGGATGGTTGGGGCATCTGGTAGGAGGAGGGGGTCGTTGATTGAGAGTTCCAGAAGGTCCAGAAACCATGGCTGGCTCTGCCAGAGTGGCGTGATGAGAATTATTCTCACTCCCTGTAGACGGATCCGGTGAAGGACCCTCGTTATCATTGCGAAAGGAGGGAATGCGTAGGCGCCGTCCCTTGGCCATTGTTGGAGAAAAGCGTCCGTTGCGAGGCTCTCCAGGTCTGGGAGCCAGCTGAAGAAAACCTCTATCTGTCGATTGTTGCGGGACGCGAAAAGGTCTAGGTAGAGAGGTCCCCTCTGTGCATCCAGTAGCGCGAAAATGTGAGGGTCTAGCTGCCAATCGCTGGCGTCCCGCCAGTGGCGTGAGTACCAATCCGCCGTCGTATTGGAGTCTCCTGGTAAGTGCTCTGCCAGCAAGGTGATGTTGCGTGGTAGGCAGTAGTCGAAGATCTCTTTCGTGAGATCCGCCAGTGTTCGAGAACGAGTGCCTCCAAGGCGGTTGATGTATCTGACCGCTGAGACGTTGTCCATGCGGAGTAGGATGCAGCAGTTGGATCGGTCCTTTGCCAGGCTGCGAATGGCGAAGGACCCGGCCAAGAGTTCCAGGCAATTTATGTGCATCGAGAGCTCTTCGGAAGTCCAGACTCCTCCTGTGGACGTGGTTCCGTCTGTTGCCCCCCAGCCTGAACGGCTGGCATCCGATTCCAGCACGAAGACTGGCTGGTTCCCGAATATGGCCCTGCCGTTCCAAGCCTGCATGCAATTCAGCCACCAGTGTAGTTCTTCCCGAACTTCGACCGACATTGGAACCGGTTGGTCGTATGTCGGTTGTCTGCGAAAGAAACTTGCCTTGAGGCGTTGCATGGCCCTGTAGTGCAGGGGCCCGGGAAAAATGGCCTGGATGGACGCGGAGAGAAGGCCTACGATCCGTGCCAGTAATCGTAGGGGTATGGTAGTCCGACGAAGGACTTTCCGGATCTCCCTGCGGATTGCCGTAATTTTGGTAGCCGGGAGGTGAAGAGTGCATGATGTGGAGTCTATAACGAATCCGAGGAATTGAACTGATTGAGCCGGGGTCAATGCGGACTTGGGGCGGTTGACGACGAAACCCAGAGAGTCCAAAAGGTGTAGTGCGTATTCCGTATGTCTCCGCAGAGTGTCTGCATCCTCGTCGAAGATCAGGATATCGTCGAGGTAGATGATGCATCTTATACCTTGGGATCTGATTTTTGCCACTACCGGCTTCATAATCTTGGTAAAACACCACGGGGCCGAGCTGAGGCCAAACGGGAGACAGGTGAACTGCCAAGGGATCCCGTGCCAGAAGAAGCGGAGGTAGGGACGGCTGCTTCTGTGTACCGGAATGGTAAGGTACGCATCTTTGTGGTCCAGACGAGTGAACCAGTCGTCGCGTCGAAGCAAGTCCCGGAGGAGATGTATACCTTCCATTTTGAAGTGTCGATATACTACGTGCAAATTGAGCTCCCTGAGATTGATAACGGGGCGAAATTCGCCTGTTTTCTTCCTGACCAGGAAGATATTGCTGTAGAAACCGGTGGCATCAGGAGCCGGTTGAATGGCACCCTTGGAGCGGAGTTCTCGGAGTTCCGCGTCTATGAGGCGGGCATCTGCCCGTGTAGTCTGGATTGGACATGGAGGGGTCAGCTGGAGCGGGGTCGAGTCGAACTCTATTCGATAGCCCTGCACCGTTTGGATTATCCACGCATCTGAAGATAGTTCTTTCCAGTTCTGGAAGAAAAGAGAAACACGACCTGCGATATGACAGGGGGTTAGAGGAAGAGTAAGATTCCGACTTACCGTTGGAGAATCTTGCTCGTGAGCGTCCTCGGGTGCCTCGGCCACGATCAGATCCCCTGAAGTGGTTGAATCTATTTCGACTAGATGAGTCTGGGTAGAACATCTGAGTCCTTGTTGTACGGGGGCCGGATGGCCAAAAACGGCTGGCGGCACGGCCCCTCTGCCGTCCAGCCCTTCCAAAAACACCACGGGTGTGGGAACCGTGGAAGACTTTCCGCATTGAAGATTGTGCCTTGTTAAGGGACGTGAATATGTTGACCCTTTTATTTAATTCCTTAAGGAAGGCCTCTCCAAATAATTTACCCTGTGCTAAGGGTCCTAATTCCTTATCCCCCAGTTCGACCAGTTTTTCGTCGATACGGTAAAGTGCTGCTCGGCGCCTCTCCGAAGAGTGGGCTACGTTGGTGTTCCCTAAGAAATTGAAACACCTTTGTTCCCATTCACGGGTATCTCGTGCCCATTCACGCACCGTATCTGGGGTAAAAGTGTCAGCCCTCTCATAGGCTTCATCCGCCATATCCATGATTCTGGCTAGTGGCCCAATGGCATCTAGCAGCTTATCTTGCGCTCCTTTAAAGCCGCGCTCTATGCCCTTGCGCGGATCCCGACCCCCTCGGGACATGAACGTAGTCATGAGCGGGTCAAACTCGGGGGTGTGCGTCACTTTGTCCGGTAGACTAGGGCGAGGGCATTCGGATCTCATCCGGTTTCTTACTTCCTTGTCTAGCGGTTTTCTGAGCCAGAAGTGCATAAACCTTGCCAAATGCTCAGGTGGTGACCATTTTTCCGAACGGGGGTGCCGGATGTTTCTTGGGTCGAACATTTGGAGGCCCGAATTGTCGAGGAAAATCTCCGAGCCCTCCTGTGGGTTATCAATGGATGTTGCCATGGAGTCCTGGGGCTCACCCAGACCCTGTTCCCTTATGAAGTAAGGGTCAGAGTTGGCCGTGGAATCCCTGTCGGAGTCCCCCTGGTCAGAGGCTGCCGCCTGCCATTCATCCAGCACAGCTAGTGCCTGAGTGGGTTCTACATCTTCCTCACCTGAGGAAAGTTGTGTGGCATCGTGGGTAGCACGAACCGTGGCTTTCCTGCGATCAGCAGGGGCTTTCCCTTTAGCCTTGCGTGGGGTTACATTGCCCTTCCAATGGCGTTTTCGCCGTTGGGAGTGTTCCCTGGAAGAGTCGGAGTCTTCGGAGTCCGCCTTATAATGAACCCGTTTAGAGGTGGGCCTGGGAACCTCAGAGTTTGTTTGGAGCGACTTGGAAGCGGCTTGTTCCATGGCTGCAGCCACGGCTGCTGTTATCATGGCCTGGAGGTCTGGGGTTTGTGATTCCTCCATTATGAGGAATGAGGATTCGGGGCTCACCCGGTAAATTGCGTGAAGGCACTAGGCACGATTAATGGAGAGGCCTGGGGACCGGGGTGGTATGGTATCAGGACTAAATAACCTGTGGTTAGAGACCGGTAGGTCGTAGAGGAGAGGGCTGATTCACTGGGGCTCACCGTTTAGCAGCGTAAAATGGGGGCTCACCCCGGCCAGAATAAGGTGCAGACCAACTGGCTAAACCAACCCCAAGTGTAAGGCACTAACCTGGTCCCACGGAGTGAAAAGGGTAAGGCTTTTCAATTGCTTGTTGGATTAGCAGGAGCAGAAAAATCAGGCAGTGTCTATCTCTTTAAGATGGCCGCTGGACTGACAGGCTCAGTGTGTGGAGAATAGTACCTCCCCCAGTTTGGGCGGCAAACTGTAAGCTTGCCATTCGCATAAATCTGACGAACGTGAATATAAGATCTATGCGAACTGCCGAACGTGCGAATAGAAATAGATGCGAACGTTTAAAAGGCGATCGCGTCAAACTGCCGAACGAAGCGTTCGGTAGTTAGAAACGAATAGTCAATGTGCGGTCGCGCGGGCATTCGAGTAAAACAGGCGAATGCGCAAAACTACCGAATAACGCGTTCGGTAGAAAGAACAGAAAAACTGTTAAAGAGAAACAGAGAAAATGGAGGGAAAGTACAGACGGCGGGAAAGCCGTGAAAGACAGTTAGGGAGCCAGACAGGGTCCCCTGGTATACAGGGGTTAAGAGCATTAATAGGGCAAATATATAAAGGTACAGTGAAAACAAAAGGCATGTAAATGAAAAGTGTATGTAGAATAGATAATACAAAATTTGTTACTTAACTTGTGATGGAGCAGCAAAGAAAGAGGAAATGATGTCATAGGTCTCACCTCTTATACCCTATTCTACGTTGTGATTGGTTAAACGTTTTGTCACTCATTTCTTTGCTGCTATGGAGATAGTAAAGAAAGATTATGCAAAATACGAAGCCTCCTGTCATGTGATAAAATTCCCCTTCTGTTCATATTATAACGTTA